AAATAAAATCAAGCAAATATTCTTTTTTTTTCTATATTTTACATTAAACTAGTCAAAAATCAGTGAAAATAAAATCCATACAAAACACCCGAAAAGTCTTTTCAGCGAAAATTAATTCCAGCTAAAATAAAGTTTCACAGTAATCTAGCTTCAAAAGTAAAGCACAAATGTTCATTCATATTTTAGAACTTTGAACGTGCACAAGACTGCATAAAAAAATAAAATACTAAATATAGCAACAAAAACCAAAATGACCAAAGACCAAAATTGAGTACAAAGACATTAATGTTTTATGCATTTAGTCATTTTTGTAGATCTAGTTCTCAAAGGGAATTTTACATAAGCATTTGGCTCTGTTTTTATACATATAATGATCTGAATTGTTTGTTATCTTTGGGGTGAAGCTCTGAAGAAGTTTGAATTTACATTTAGTGATTATTACATGTATTAGTACATGCAAGCTAACAGAAATGACAAAGGTGTGTCTATGGTCATGATAGTCAAGCAATAAACACCTGTATTCTACTTCAACATGTTACTAGCATGAGCCACAAACTGAATGGCCCTGATGAACTGTACTCTGTCATCAGCCTAACTGATCAATTTGAATCAGAAAAATTGATGAGGATTTAATTATTCAATAACTGATAAGTCAATTTGTCTGCAATTTGGAATTTGTAATGAAACCAAGTTTGGTCATTTTATCAGGGAATACAGTTGTTAATTTCATAGCTTATTATATTTTATTATTATGGATTTAATGAGGGGTTCGAGTTGGTGGGTAGGATAGTAACTCGTAGAAATGAATTCACCTATTATATGCAAAATATTTTAATCATACATGTAACCAAAGACACTAGTGTCTTTGATGTAACTAAGGTTTAAATTTAAATATTTGATTTGATTTTGGTAAATAGAGCGAGGTTAATAAAAACAAAACACAAACATTGTACTAGTATGCCACTGGTTATACTGACAGGAGAGAGAGTATCGCAAACCAAAGCCACTGTGACTGGGCAGTGTTCAGGACTATGATGTTAAATAGCAGCCGAGTCTATCCAGATAGATTATTCAATTGTATCAATGTTGTGTTTTCTATATACAGTACATATTACATGTTTATGCAAAGGCATGTATTTAAGGTAGTTTAAACCTGTCTATGCAAAGGCATGTATTTAAGGTAGTTTAAACCTGTCTATGCAAAGGCATGTATTTAAGGTAGTTTAAACCTGTCTATGCAAAGGCATGTATTTAAGGTAGTTTAAACCGAATTGAAATTGTCATCTGCTGATCAGTTTATTGCACATATATATGCAATGCATTATGGGATAGAACCGCATTGTATATAATGGGAAACTATTACCCACCTGGAAACTCATTTAATAATTACTTTGCCAGTTTTGTTAAATGTATTCACAATATATAATTTATATCAATAATAATATACAAAATTTTGAGACCAGTGTAAAAATGATAATTTTTATCATTTCTCATAAAATCATCCAGTGACCAACATTTTTTTTTTTTTTTGGTATTCTGATCATCTGAACCCATAGAAATCAAATAATTAAAGTATGACAATGATGAATTTTATACTCTTCAATTCCTTGCTATCACATTCAGAGGGAGGGGTTTTGGTCGAATAAATGGTCTTTGGCTGGCAAAGATGGTAGTTGTTTTGCTGTTTTTAAAATCATGACAGTCCCATCCATTCGCATATTAAATACAACAAGTCATTGCCATTGACGGTCTCTGTCGTGTTTTCAGTGACTGTATCTATTATAAATAATGAAAGATGTAGACAGAGTACATGTATAATTAAATGTTGCGGTGGTACCGTATATTCGGTCAGCATGTTAACTACAAACAATGGCATTTCAAATGGCACTATATCCAGGTTTTGTTCAGTCAAAGTGGCATCTCCTACCAGCAAGATTATTTTAACATCTTGCACAGAGTTGCACATCCACGCATAAACTACATTCATTTGGACATTTTGAATCAAATCACCATGTGGGTTGTTTGAATAATAAAGATTCAGAGAATATGCATACCATTATGCCTTGTCTTTGTATCAAATTAAAACAAAATCAGTGAAAGTGCACCTGATAACAGGCAAGAAAATACGTCATACACTTGATCATGACAGGTACAAATGTTGATTTTTGATGTTTTTCAGGCCACCAGTTAGTCAACGAAATGAAAAATAAATCAACATGCAAATGTACCTCATTTTGATTTGTCTTTGGATCAAGTGTGAACAAAACCAGTCTAGGTACTTCTGTTCTAGAAATTATGTCAGACAAACACACAGACAGACAGGTGCACACTTAGACTCTTTGGGACTTAGATGGATCACAGTCCCTCTAAAATAGAGGGACTCTAATGGACAGAATCTAAAACACAAGTGATAGTCTGTTTCAGACTACGTCTGACAGGACTTATATTTACAATTTCACTGCTTCTTTTCATGTTAATTTTAACCTAATCAAGCTAAAACTAAAAACATACAGCTAAAAGGTCAGAGCATTTGACACAATGTCAAATCTTAAATTAACTTTGGTCGAAGCCTTCTGACCCATGTCTATATAAATAGACTACGAGTGAAAGTAAAATAATGATGGCAGCCAATGTAACAAAGCAATACAAAATATCATGGTATGTATACAGATTGTAGTAATAATTTCCGCGTTAAGAGCCGGTAGGTTGAAGGTCAGATCGAGCATAACGCTAGGAATGTACAGTAGTGGTCAATGGTAAACAGATATTTATCATATTCACAGAAGTACCAGCATCATCATCTAACGACAACTAGCACTACTGTAAACTGCCAATTTACATATACGTGAAACTAAACGTGCTCTTAGAACTGTAACATGTTGTCATATAGTGCCAATTTCGTAAGAAACATTAAACTGCCCAAACTAAACCTCATATACAAACAGAAGTACAGCAACCAACTTGGCGAGTTGTTCACTTACTCGTTGTGTTTCTGAGCCCTCATACTTTCAATGGTGAGACTTCCCATTGAAGGCATGTGGGTTCCCTCCCGGTCACCAGTTGCTCGGTGCATTTTTTCCACAGTTGTAGTCATATAGGACACTCCGTAACTCCACTACTCGGGTTTGTTGCTGGTTGATGAATAGCCTGTTTTATTGGCTTTTAGGACCCCCTAATTTTATGTCTAATAATGACATATCGTATATCTTTACAACAATGTGTACGTCGTCTAGTTATTACAGTCATTATTTTACACATGGTGCAAGTAATTTCTGACATTACATAAAGAATAAACATATATTTCAGCAGAGTGTATGTTTTAGAAACTAACAACCACATCAACGTTTGTAACAAAGATAGAGGGCTTTGTTTAGTCCAGGATACGACGTCATCGATTTATGTGCACACACGATATCAGCATGGCTTCCGTGTTGTTGAGTGAAGCTGAAAGAACCTTTATTTTACACGGTGTACAGGTTTGTTAAGTATTTATTCATGTTTCTGATCACCTTACAGTTCAAAACTGTCCGTACTACCTAAGATACCGATCTATATTATTGAACTGTCTCTTGGGATAGACACGGTCGGGAGAGGGCGCCTCACAAAGTGCATCTTGCTTGGTATAACCTCAGACTAGTAATACAATTGTATTACTAGTCTGAGGTATAACGTAAAAATAAAATCACGTTGGATAAATTAAACTTAATGAATTAAATAAAATTGGCAGTCTAGTAAATGAGGGTTAAAAACCCCAAATAATTAGAAAAGTTCCATTTATTTATTACATATTTTTTTCTTTTACTTTTCACTACTACCTGTGCAACTACTACCAGTACTTATTTATATACCCTCCCTATATATAAAATATAAAAAGGAATAAAAAAATTAAAAAAAATCCTGCAGCTGCCAGTATTGCAAAATTGAGTTGAGAACTTCTTATTGATTAGGATTCCTGCATGAAGTTACCGTGATAGAAAAAATGCATAATTATGGCAAGGGAAGGCAATGTTTTTTTCTGTTTAGGTTATGTAATAAATTCTCTTATTAATTGCTAAGCCAGTTAGTTGTAAACGGTCTAGAGAGTTGTGAACAAATATTTTTGTGAATATCACTGACCACGAAAGACGCCCATCACAAAGTGTCTCTTTCTTGATATTAACATATTAGTCAGTAAAGAAATGGTTAGCCTTTGTCTAGTTTCTATTGCCATATTTGTGTTCTTTGTACTAATGATTTTGCTCTTTTTTATTGAGCTGTCTCG